TAGCTTGCCCCCACCCCCCCCCCCTTAATTCTTGGATTCTAGACATGGAAAATTAAAATAAATATATAATTTTCCATGTCTGTAATCTAGTTAGTGGGCAGTTGTCTTAAATTCATCCCTCCCACAATTGCCACAGAGAAACTAGAGGCAGGGAAAGTAGCAGCTAAGGGGCAGGCAGCTTACACCCCCCTCCCTTTGCAACTGCTCTGGCCCTCTGCCTCTGCCCGGGGCATGGAACCACCCACCTGGGTGAGGTAGTAGTGGCAGCCCCAGACTTTAGCCTGGTTAGGGTCAGGGCTTAAGCTGTAGCAGCTCCACACATCACTCCATGCACCTTTCCCTGTGTTCCCCCTACCCCTACCTGCCCTGTGTCCCTTTCTCTGTGGTCCCCTCCCCTGAACAACACTCCAAGCTCTGTAGCCCCCTCATTCCTTCCATCTCTTCATCTATGCTCTCCCTGCTACCCTTTCCTTGTGCTCCCCATTACACCATGCATCCTTCCCCTAGCACTGTGTATCTTTCCCTGCACTCCCCTCACTCTGCATGTCTCTTTCCCCCAGCCCCTCACCCTGCACTCCTTCCACCCTCATGTACCTCTTGTCTGCTTCATGAACCACCCTGGCCCCATCTGGAACCACAGTAGCTTGCCTGGCCCATAAGCAAATGAAAGACCAGGGTTTCCTCTCCCTGCCCCCCGCATGTTGAATGAGGGTAAACCTCATCTTGGAACCAAGTAAATATGGTATTACTGCATCTAGAAAATATCGGTACTGTGCATAGTGACAGTAATAATGTAATGGTGGAAAGAGGGGGTAGATTTTTTTTCACATATACTACTAAGTAAATAATTTCATTCATTCAACCCTAAATGGAATAAATGTGACCTAAATGGAATTCTACTAAAGTTAACACAAAACTGTAGTATAATAGGACTCAACAGCAGAGCTTTAAAGTCTTTTATGAAGAGATATATAATGAATTAAAACACACTTTTGAGTTCAAAGCACTGCCATTTCGCTCACTACAACATTCTGATAATTCTTAATTTTGAGAAGCACTTACTATGTCTCTGTAAGCCACTAGTTCCTTTAAAAATATATGGAGGAAGAAGGGTCTCAAACTTGCTATGACAGTACAAAAACTTCTTTATTTTTATACTTGTATATGTTTACATGCTGAAATCTTGACATTCAAAACACAATATTTAATTAAAAAAAAAAGTTCTGTATGAGATTAAGCATAGATGTACTATCTACGTAGTTTCAAATGGTATTTTTCACACCTGCTTCATTGGCATATGCCAGTGGTTGTCAACTGGGGGTATGCATATGCCTAGGGGTACTTAGAAAGGTTGTAGGGGGCATGGGGAGGCTCCCACTGCTGCGAGCACCCTGACAGAGTCCCGGGGCGGGGCACATGCCCTCCCAATCTGTGTATGGGGTGGAGTCAGATGTCACTGCCCCTGGCATGTGCTAGCAGCAGAACACTGGCCACCAAATAATAACTACTGGGATTTTAATGTCCCATTATGTGTGTAGTTGAGTACCAGTTGTACTGATTTTTTAGAATAACATTTTATTATTAAGTAAATATTTAAGTTGCAGGAGGGATAGAAGATTAATATGGAAATAAAAATAATACTGTAGATTAAATATATCCTATTGAAGTTCATCATGGTCTTGAAAGGAACCTTTTTGTTTTCATTAGCATTTAATGTTTTTAACTAAGCATTAAATTTTGAAATGTAGAAGAACTTACTGCTTCTTACCACTACAAATCTTGGCCACTTCATAATTATCTTGGAAGAGCTAACTGCTTACATTGTATTTCAGATAAGTAATTACTTGCTTATTTAAAGCGCAATAGTTTGCTTACTATTCAGCCATGTATGAACTAAGGGTTTTTGTTTGTTTTGTGGGAGATGGAAGAAGGGTGTTCAGCACCCTAGTTTTGTGAAGGGACTAATTCTGTTAATTCATGAAACTTTGGATAAATTAGAAGTACATGTACTCCACTTATGCATGTTGAATAAGTACTTAATTCACTAAACTGTATAAAATGTATATAAAATTGTTCCCAATTTTTTTGTCTATTACTTTCAATAAATAACTGTTATCTCCGTATTGGTAAGAGCATAACAGCTTAAGTACATAGGAACTCTTCAGTCCTGCTCTCTAATCTAGGACATATTCATATTCCCTTTTACTGCATAACTGGTTAAATTAACTAGTAGTTTTCAATTTTTAGGCTTTTGAATCAGTCTGGAACTGATGAGGTTAGTGTTTTTCAACCTTGTTAGACTTAAAGCATCCTTTGTTAGACTCAAGGCACCCCTCAAAAATACCACCTCTTAGTTTTCACTCATTTCTTGACTATGGAAAAATATTAGAGTAGTTTTTCTTTTGCAAAGAACTCAAAGACTGTCACAAGTCAAAATGTTTTTGAGGCTGGATTCTTATTTGAAATCTCAGGGTTTATTGTGTGTATGTGTAGGTGTTCTCATACCTAGTACTGCATGGCACCATTAAAAGGATGCTAAGGCATGCCAGGTTGCCATGGAACCCTGGTTGAGAATCACTGGGCTAGGTCCTTTCAGATTCAAGATTGCTATTAGAAATTTAAGGCTCTTGAGAAATAAGGTAATAAACGTTAGTGAGGTGTGAAAAACTTAGTTATTTCTGTATTTAATGAGCATTTTCAACATGGAATTCATGTAAGATAATATTCCGGGTAAGAACATGGCTTTTTTTTAGTCCTAAGGGTGTGCATTTAAATGGAGAATATGGTATCATTAAGTATCTTAATAAAGAATCAATCTTTCTGTTAAAATTAGGTAAGCTGCAGTCTGTTGGAAATAGACTGGGTAATGAAATAGGGGATCTGGGAGGTTAATTTAGGAATACAGCATGGATGCTAAAGATACAACTATGCTCCAAGGCTTAGTATGCATGACCAAGTTTTGCCAGTATAGCTATCTATGTCTGTGCAGATGTGAAAAAAAATCAAACACTAGATGATATAGCTATGTTGACTGCAGCTGTCTTGGCAGACAGTAATAACTGGTGTACTATCAGAAGGGGGCTCTGCTGCCGTAGAGGCAGCAGCCTTATAGACAAACTTTAATATTGTCTTCAAGTATTAAGTGTATTTTGTGATTTTTCATTGTAGACTGAGTGCCTTTGCCCCCTCTCCCCCCCCACCCCCCCAATTATTCCCTGTCCTTGCTTCCCCCCTACCCTTACAGCTAGGTGAAAAAATTCTAATACTTACTCATTTTTGTGATTTTGTTCATGCCATTACAGCTGTTGCTTGTGGTCAGACTGATTCTTTGAATATTTAGAAAGTATGCACTCGAATCTGGATCTCTTTCTGTGAAAAATAGTTGAATTGGGTATGAAACCATTTTTATTTAGAAAATGTATTTTGAAAGCTGCCATTAACTTAATGACCTAAAATTTTCTTATAGGCAGAAGCAAGGCTTGCAGCCAAACGAGCAGCTCGAGCAGAAGCAAGAGATATACGTATGAGGGAACTGGAGAGACAGCAAAAAGAGGTAACATACATTGTGATGCTTTATTATAATATTACACTAAAAATGTTAGTTTCCTTTTAATTATATTTATTTATTTATTTATTTAAATAAACTATTTCTGTTTTTTTCACCATGTGCAGCCCTTTTCCTCATAGCACAGCTATTGCTATTTTTTTTCCTAGAGTATATATTTGGTATCACTGGGTGCATCTACCCATGCATTTTACTGCACAGTAAAGCTTTGTCCTCTATACATGCATGATACTTATGTAGGTGTAGACTACTTTACTGCACAATCGGATGGATAGTCCTGTCAGATGCAAGTACTATTTGATAGTGCTGTAAATTAGTATAATTAAATGCACTTGCAAACAGTGATGTGAGTACAAATTGTACCTGGTCAGCCCAGGCAGCAGGGGGCCATACTCCTGCCTGCTGCCAAGCCACATGGCTCAGGAGCTTCAGGAACCTCATGGCATAAGCAGCTTCTCCACTGCGCAACACAGTGACCCAGAGCCTGGGGCTCACCCCCACCCGGAGATGGCCGCCAGCCCAGGGTGGCAGCTCTGATCTAAATTGCTCCACTTGGGCTCAGTTTGCTGCTGACCTGGGCATACATGTGGATGCTGCACTCAGGAGTAGTTTACTGCGCAGCAATTTCCTGCATTCAGCAATGAATAACTTTCTACATCCATATCTACATCCACATATATGTAGATGTTTGTTTATGTTTGAATTGTGAATTAAAATAAAGAATACTACAGTCAAAAGATCAGTTATTCAGATAGAGCTGTAGTACTGTGTATTTAACATACCATCATAAAACACACCTCTTATAATTGATACATTCCCATACTAAGTGAGAAAATATATTTGGAATGGTTATATCTAATATCTTGATTGAGTTTAATACATTACATATATACAAAGTTGCACAAAAATAGAATAAATAGGCTGAACTAAATATTACCTTTTGAAAATGGCTGTGGTCCTTTTATCTTAAATTATTTTACTTGGGCTTTCTGGAAGCACGCAATAGCGTATTAGTAACATAGAAAAGTCAGACCTTAATTTTTTGTATGGACGAACGTGCTGTATTTAATGTTTTCAGTAAATAAACATTTTAATCTTGAAATACAGCCTTTTTTTTTTTTTTTTTTCAAACGATGAATTAAAATAAAGTACTATTAGTGCCCCCAAATCAATTGATATTTGTTTACAAGTATGGCTTCTTTCTCTGCTGTTTCTGTTGGAGGAATGTATACAAGCTTGGAGAATATTTAACTCAAGGTTAATGGCTGAAATATAAAACTGACAGAACTCAGAACTGTCAGATGTACAGAGAAACTGAACCTAAAGACAAATTAGAGGTGAAAGTAATACATATGATAGTTACTTGTAACAATATTAAAAAGAAATAAAGGAAAAATCTATCATCTCTCTTTGTTTGAACAGTCTGTTTTGAACACTAAGGAGGTTAATTTTTTAAATTTTGTCTTAATTTCAGTATGAAATTAAAAAAAAAATGTTAATGGATTGTATGAAAACTGTAATTCTCTTATTAATATTGGCCAGTATGCTGTGGTGGTACGAAGTCAAATTAAAAATCAAGATGACAGGTTTTTATATTTAGCTTTTATTTTTGTAGTTGTTCTATTCCTGTTTCTGTTCCTGTTTAGTACATTACTGGGTGATGAACTTAAACTGTGCAGGATGCTTACCTGTTTTACATATTGTGAAGTATATCACATTTCCTCTATTCTCTGTATTTTGTAGCTTTCTCATCGCTCTTATGATAAAAAATGGGGGCATATCCAAAAATGGATGGTAGGCCAGGACTGCCTGTTTGTGTGCTGTTTACACTTGACTGAAGAACTAACATAAGTTTGGAGAGAATAATTTACTAATGGTTTGTGAAGTGTACTGCTGCAGCTGTTTCTTGGGTTGCCTGTGAGACCTTTAGAGTTCCTTTGGCTGGAGACCAATTGCAGACTAGAGACTGGTCTGAGACTGCAGACTGGTCTGAGACTAGAGATTGGTGATCCAGGCAAGCCCCCGCTGTGCTGCAACTTTGTCCCCAGACAGCACCCAGGACAGGGCTGCCTTGAAGTTGGTCCCTACAGAACTCCCTCAACTCCCCATTGGGTGGTCTGTCAGGGGGTCATCTGCTCTCCCTGCCTGCCTTTGGATATCAGAGCACCATGGGAAAGTGGGGTCTCTTGGACCTGACCACACATTAAATTTATCTTGGAAACATGCAAAGTTTGCTATTTGAAACAGCAAATATTTTTCATATATTTTTGTGGTGAATTGGCATTTTTTAAGCATTCCAGACATCACAAGTGTGTGGCCAGTTGCCTTTTGTAGTGCTAGAACAGCTGATATGGCAGGACATCAGTGTTTTAACACTATGGATTCATATTTGAAATCTTTAAATTCATCTTGAAAATCATGTGTTTGCACACCTAACATTGCTAATACTGCATGGCACCCTGCAGCTTCTTTATCTCATCACTGTTGGGTGATGTGGCACTCTGGGTTGAGAAGAGCTCATCTAGGCCTTTACTGTGACGTAATGTCTGATTTTGAAGGCAGTTTTAGATTTTTTTCACAGATGAAAGACTGGAGTAGGCAAGACACTTTAAAGGTTTTTTTTGTTGTTGTTTTTTGTTATGGGAATTGTAGATTTAGTGTAAAGTTTTATATGAAAGGCTAAAATTTAAGAAATTGTTTCAAAATATGTTTCCTGTGAGGTAATGAACTTGAGTGACACCTTTTTATTGGACCAACTGTATAGTTGGGATAAAATTAGACAACCTTTTGACTACAAAAGTTTTTTAATCAAGTTCTTTCCTACAACATTTTTTGCTGGAATGGTTCTTAGCAGTTTAAGGAATAGTATGACTTATTTTAAATTTTAGTATTTTTTTATATTTTTCTCTGAGGTTCTTCCCCTTCCCCCTATCCTTTGGTTGAAGAAAGTATATGCACGGTTTGCAAATGAGCCATTCTTTGAGAAACTTTGGGCACATATACACGTGCAGCGAGGCTGCACCAACATGCTATAATTACAGGACGTTGGAGCAGACTCAGTCGTGATAATTACCACCCTTTGTTTCTATAATGGAGAAGGAAGAATGAGCCTGAAAACTGTAGAAGTAAAACAATTTTCAGTATCTACAACTATGCTTTTAGGGGGTTAGGAGCCTTCTATATGTAAAATGCATAACTATGTAGAATAATTTTACACTTTAACTTTCTACTGCTGGTAATAATCATAATTACTATTAGCGACAATGAAACACAAAATCTTGTATTAGAACTAAAGCAACTTTTTAATTCAGTTTTTTTTGTCATTTTGCTAGAATTTTTCTAGTATCTAATTCCAAGATTTCTTATGTTTTGAATTTTTAACTAATGAGAGTTGCATATATTCTGCTATATTTATTTCTAGACAATGTCATTTTTCTGTACTGCTAGCAAAGATTGTTGAATAATGACCTTTAAGGAATAATACATCATATCAATTGTACTTTTCTTTTAATGATATGCAGTGGTAGACACCAGACAACGAACTTCCACACTTCGATGTGTCTTGAATGGATTTGCTTGCTTCAGGTTTTTTCCCCCCGTTGCCCAGATACATCTTTGAGTAGACAGCATAACTGCATGTTGCTGTCTTTGCTTGCTTTTCACTGTCCCATCATTTTCATTAAATAATTATATATTTCTTCTTTCTCAGGAAGATTCAGAAAGGGCCAGGTATTCTCACCGGTCCAGTCAACATTCATATCTGGTTCGTGCTAACCTGTTATTTTTTGCTCTCATCTTACCTTTCTGTCTTTATCTTTAATATTTCACTTTTTGATTTGATTTCATTCTGTTAGGAAGTGGATGACGTAGTATCTTCCCAAAATATTGGCAGTCATAGAGTTAGTACTTGGGTTCAGTGTAGTATCAAAGTTCATGCAGGCTATCTATTTAATCAGTACTGAGATAGTCAAAATACCAAAGTAGACGCTGTGTTTTTGTATAAAAAATTGTCTGAATCTAAATTTGTTTTATTTGAGAAGCTAGTGTTTTCAATATAATACTAAATGGTTACTTGTGTAATTTAATTGTGTAATATAACATCACAAGTTTGGAAATAGGCTGCAGATTATATGTAGTTCAAAACTTGATCATGTAGAAGAATTTTACTTCTCTTTAGCAACAAATTAAAAATGGCACATACTCTGTTTTAGCTCTTTAGCATATATTTTAAAACTGGGAATTTTTTAAAAATCAGATTGTCATTGTGCTACTTTTGTGAGAAGAATATCTAAGGCTTAAGTGCTGAGAAATAGCTGAATAATGTGTATATTTCTATAGTAAGACATTTCAGGCTGTGTGCATTGAGGTAAAAAAATGCTCTTAGTCTTTTGTTGTTTTTAAAGGTATACACCATGTCTTTGAGAGTGGTGTTTTGGTAGGTGGAAACTAATCTCTTTTATCCTCTTCTCTTCCATATTCTTCTTTGTCTTCTAGTTTCCTTCCCCTTCCTTTTTTTCATTCATTCTTTCAATTCTTCCAGTTTCTTTTCTGCACTCATTTTTCTCTCTACCCTGTCAGTTGCTTCCTCCTCTCTAATCCTCTCATCACTTCTTTCTTTTCAAATCCAGTTTTCTCTTTTAGTTTTTCCCTTTTCCTTCTCTATCCCTCTCATACTTAAGAGTGTTGTGGGGAGCTCTCCATGCTGTTTTTGCGCTCTTGTGGAAGCAGGGAATTGTTTCTTAAGTTGCCATGCTCACTCCTTGGCTAGGGACAGAAGTTACACATAAATTGGTTTAAGTGATCAGAAACTGGTTTAAACCTGTAACAGAATAGAAGTTCAGTGCACATAAACTGCTTTTAAAATGGCCAAAACCGGTTGAAGATGAACCTGTATCAGACTTAACTGATTTAGGTCAAACTGGTTTACGGAACTTCTGTCCCAGATCCCTTTCTGGTTCAAGTTAACTTGTAGTCCCCCAGCATCCCAGGATGCTTTGCAGCCCTGGGTTATACTGTCTACTCCAGCGGAGCAGGGACTACCTCACCCCTCTACTCCTTAGTCTGCTTCTGGCCTGCATCCATCAGCCCATAGGGATGGGGGAGGCAGGGGAACAGACCCTCAGACCCCCTTAACCAGGGTCTACACAGCACATGGGGGAAGGGAAAGCCCTACCCTTGGCAGCCCTCCCCCTTATCCTTCCCAGCTGCTGATTGCTTTAGCTGCTACCACAGGAGGGAGGGAGAAGTCCTTGGGGCTGGGTGCCTGCCCATGCAGCCTCCCCACGCAGTAGAGGGAAATTATTTTGCTCCTCCACAGCCAGTTTTGCTCAAGCTGCTGTTAGTCTGAGGCAAAACTTTTTGCAGGGGAGTGGAAGAATTTTCCTCCAGTCCCTGAGGCTGCCCTGCGCTGTCCCTGGGACTTGCAGCAGCTAAGGCAAGCAGCCCTGGAGTTCGGGAGAGGAAGAGTTCCCCTGTGCTGCCTGGGGCTAGGGACCCTGGGGTAGGGGGAAGCCCCCCGAGGGAGGGACTCCCTGATGCCCCCCATGCTGGGCTGCAAGTTTTTGTACACAGTCAAGCCTTTACCTTTCTCTAAAAATGCAACGTTTCAAGAAGTTAAATGAATAAAAGATATCGAACAGCAAGAATGCACTTTTTGTAGAAAATAACAATTAAATGAAAGCTTCCTGACCAGTGATTTAAATCATGATTTAAATCAAACCCATGGTGGAGTCCTCTGACCAGGTTGAAATTGGTAGGAGCTGGCTTGGGCTGTAGCCCTTCTCAGACTCCACTGCAAACCTCTTAACCTCGCCCCCCACCTCTGCCCTACCACACACTTGTAAACAGAGGCACTCAGGATAGTTCCATATGTGTGGCTCTGAGTGCTTACACAAGTTACATTTTTTGTATGATAAGGCCCCTGAAAGCACACTACAGCAGTGATGTAACACATATTTGCGGCTGCAGGGTGCTTTTAAAATGGCCTGTCATATGAAAAATTAACCCTTGTTAAATCAGCTATTAGCTGAAGGCTCTCCAGAGCAAAATGCCTTGGTGAACTTCTGTTCAGGTTCCCTGCAAGGGTTAATTTCCACCTGCGGGCAATTTCCACCTGCATCCCATGTGCTCTTGCAGGGTTGGGCTGGTGCTTGTGCTGGTGAGCACCAGCCTCGCCCTCTCCTTGGCCCAGCTCCAGGTGTGGCAGAGCCAAGTAGACAGCTGCATGCTGCTGCTGTCAAGAGGCTCGGGCAGGGGGTGAGGGAAGGTGGGGGGTGAGACTGGGGAGAGGAGCAGCTTGGCAGCCTCCTATGAGGTTGCTGGAGTGCTCTCTCCTGCTGGCTGGGGCAGGTTCAGGCAGGCTGCAGCCCCCTGCAACAGGTGACTGCCTGTTGGGTTCAGTGGCATTCTGACTCATGGAACTAAATGTCTGTAGGCACCCTCTGTTTCTGGGAGGAGCATGGGTGAGGGTGGTACAGGAAACGGTACAACCCAAGCCAACTTCTGCCTGCTTTAGGCTGATCAGAAGGCCTTAATAGAGGAGGTGGAGGTGCAAGTGCATGTGGCACAGCCCTTCCTGGACTAGCAGTGCAGCAGGTGCAAAGGGCATTTTTTATCTGGAGAAGGCAGCACCAGTTTTGGCTCTCAACTGGAGTGTACTGCCACATTCAAAAAAGTGATTGTTGTGTGTGAACGAGTTGAGAGCAATTCAAATACAGCAAAAAGGCTCCAAGTTTAACACTTCTTCATCCAGTGTTAGACTTGGAGGTTTTTTGCTGCTTTTGAATTGTTCTCAGCTCTTTCATACATAATAATTAGAATGTACCAGTTGCTGCCATTTTGAAACATTTTCCTTTTGAAAGGGCTCTAAGTATCTTGTGTCCACAGCCACAGGATAGCAAGTGAGGTGGTTGCTAACTGTTCTTTTTAGCGTATACCCGTGTCTTTGTTATACTGTCATTCTGGTGCCTGAATATAATTTCTTATACTTCTTGGTTTGCATTGAGTGTATATATTCCAATTTAGTTTACATATTTGTGATCCATAATCTTTTACAATTTTATTCTTAAGACCTCATCTTTGGATGCCACTGGGTCACACAGAAGCAGAACAAGTGCTTCCCAAAGGAGAGATCACGGGGTGTGTAACCTAGAGATGAGCATATGCTAGTTTGTTTGTGTGATTTTTACATTTTGTGTGCTCCTTAATCAAAAGCTGTGATTGCAGATAGAATAATTTGTTTATTGGAGGATAATATTTAGTGTATCGTGATTGTAGAAGTTGCATATTATAGTAGCGCAGCATTTTCCATGGATATGATCTGGTCCATGGCTCCAGCCATATGCTCTGGATCAACCCCACTGCTTGGACCCTGGGCCTGCTGCTTAGCCCAGGGCCCATGCCTGCCAGATTTGGTCTATTGCTAAGGCCTCCACACGTGTACCAGATTGGGCCTACTTGCCAGAGCCATTTCATCTACCTGGCTGGCTTAGCAATGGCTCTTCCCAGAGCCATTTCATTTGATGGCTGGGGAATAGTGGCAACATTAATTGCCACTGATCCCCCTACTGCCAAGTTTATGGACATGCAGGGAGCCCCATGGATCAGAGGTTAAGCATGACTGTGCTAAGAAATCTGGTACTCAAGAGTTTTGGTTTGAATCGGGAAGTAAATTGGGTGTGCTGTTGTGGGGAAAGGTCATGTTTGAAAATGTCCATTTCCAAACTCCCCCTTAAAACAAAAATGAGGCAAGTTGTTGTTGAAAACCATTTCAGTTTGCATTCATTGATACAAATGTTGGCAGGCGACTTTTTTCCTCCTCCCAGCGAGTATCACTAAATTTATCTATAAGCCAGGCTGAAATATAAAAGACTTTTACCTCTTAACTGAATTTTCTGGAATACTTTTTTTTTTCTAGCATAGATGATTTGCCTGCATATGTTTTATATGAGTATTTAAATACTTTATGAAGTTGTTGATTTCTTTAATACATTTTGATCTGAATGTAGAGGTATGAAAACAGTTTCCTGGGTTGGATTTTGTTTCCATCTTCTGGAAGGAATATTTGCCTATCCAGATCTTGCTTATATACACATATTACAGTTGTGTAATTACCACTAAATTTGCCTGAAACCCAATTTAAATTGGTGCAGAGGTCTATGAAGAGGCACTTTTATCATATATGTCAGCTAAATTTGTAAGTGTACTGATGCAAACTAAAGCATGTAAACCAGATTTAAATCAAATTGAGATTGTACACACAGGGTTTTTCATCAGTTAAACTATACCTATTTAAGATTTAAAATCTTTTAGCTAAACTAATATAAGATAAAGGAAGATCCAGACCTTAAGCTTCAGAAGAAGAATATTTGGGAAAGCCTAATTAAGTAGAAAGAAGAAAAAAAGTTATCTTTCTCTCAGCAATCAATGTCTTGCTGAAAAAGACTGCCAGCTTAGGCCTCCAGTTGTGCTTATTAGCACAGTGGATAAACAGGTTCTGGAACAAATTTTCTTTCTGCTTTACATTTCAGAAAAGGTAGACTTAAACTGATATCACACTGCTCAGCAGATCTGCTGCCCATGAAAAATAGCAATCTCTATCTGTCTGTTTTATTTGCAAAAACAATAATTTTTTTCATTACCTTTAATTCCTACTAGCCGTGGGGAGCCAACAGCAAATAGAAGAGGGACCTGGATGCTGTTACAGTTCTTACATTGCCAACAGATAGACAACATCCATTATGAAAAATGTTTTATGCAGCAAGAGTTCCATTGCTACTATAAATCAGCACTTATCAGAAAATTGGTTGTATTAGTTAAGTGATATCAGTCTAAATGAAAAGTCCATTCGCCCCATGCCACCCAAAACCTTTATAGAGGCAGCATACCATTCCTTACCAGGTGAACTTTGTTGTATTTATTAGACTGATTTTTTTTTTTAAATTAATTTCTTTGGGTTCTATATAAATATTAAAATAGCTTAGAATTTTTCTATTTTGATTTCTTGTTTTTAATTCTCAAATTGATTTCTATCTTTGCTTACTGTACATTAGTATGAAGGCTTGAAGGCTCGATCTACAAGTTACTCTCTCTCAGTATGTAGATAATATGCATGCCTGCATGAAGATTACTTTTATTTTATTTTTTTTAAAGATGCGATTACACTGACTTTGGTGGAACATTAAAAAATGAGATCGCTAACTTGATTTTACCTTCTTGTGTTTCCAGAGTTATTTGTACTCACAGTCTAACTCGAGGAAAAGTATATGTGTAATTTTATAAAAACCAAAAGAAAACAAAGAAAAACCTCCCAATGCAGTTAAATATAAAATATAAATACTGTGTTTCTGTATTTTCTTGCATGCAACACATTCCCAAAATAAAACATGCACCTTGTTTTTTTGTAAGGTAGAATGTAGATTTATTTCTCCCCTACCTCCCAGGGTCAGGGCCTGTTGTCTGACAGTGTCCAGGAATTGTGTCCCTAGGAGGCCATTTAGATGAGGCAACTGGCATCGGGAACTTCCAGGTGCTAGCTGCCTCTCTAGACCATCTCCTGGAGGCTACACTTCTTGGACACTGTTTCTGGGAGGACTTACTCTGTCATGCAGGGTTAGGCTCCAGATCCTTGCAAGAGCAATAGCAAGACTGTTAATTCTTACTCTAAGTAGTTCTTTTTATAAATTCCTGTAAATTAAGAGTTGTTTCCACATCATAAGCCTCATCAAGATACTACCAGCAGCTGCTCACTTGCTGCTTCAGGCACAATCTATGGTACTCAGCCAACAGCTGACAACTCTGCCACCTTGGCAGCTGCATGGCATGCACGGTGTCTCCACATGTGCTTCTTCTGCAGCAAAGAAAACATCTTCTCTTCTTAAAACATGCCAAAATTTGGGGGACTGACTTTTGGGGGGAAAGTTGCATGTTGTATGTGAGACAGTACAGTACTAACAACTTTCCTGATCTTATAAATTTTCAAGTAGACAGAACTTTCTGCTCACAGTGGCTGTTTCTGGGGTTATTAAAACAGTAAAGTTATTTGGCAGCTTACCTATGCAAGGGCTCCAAAAATTGCTTGCTTCAGAATTGTTTGTAATGGTGAGGAATTTGTGTAATCATAGGTAGGTGTAGAGAAGCAAATAGAAATGTTTTGTTTTGATTAAATGATTACATTTCATAAATAAAATAGGAAATAAATAGTCTTGTCTCTTCTTCCTCAGGAGAGGTCTAACTACAGAGTGTCACTGAGAGTCTGCTGTGTAGGAAACAAGGAAATATCATTAGTCTGTTTAGAGAAAGTGCACACTTCGCATGATATAGAGCAGAAATGGGCAATTATTTGGCTTTTGGGCCACTTCAAGACTGGGTGAGCTGTCCGGGGGGGGGGGGGGGGGGGGGGGGGAGTGCATCCCCCTGGTTGAGCACGCTCTGCTTGTGTGGATCCTGGCCAGTCTCCATGGAGACCCTGCCTGGCCACTCTATCCAGCACCTCTGGCAGTGGTGCGGGCAGGCCTTATTTCTTACACAGCATACTCTCAAGCAGTGGGGCTGGGTCCAGTGGCAGTGGAGACACTAGTGGTGGCAGCTGGAAGGAGCCGCTGCCAGAAAGCGGAGTCCGGCCACTGCACTGCCCCTATGCCACTGTGCACCCAGGGGCAGTGGGACCGGCCACATGCTCCATGGCCCGGACTGTCTCTTGTGCCTGGGCCAGGTAGGGCTGAGGGACCCACTGTGGGCTGGATAAACTCCCTTGGCATATTTGCCCCCTGATATAGAGCCTAGCTCTGTCAGAAGTTTCAGTTTTTTGCTACAAAGATTTGTGACTAGTGTTGTATGCAACCTACCTGCAATAACTTCCTACCTGCCATGCTTACAAAAATCGTAAATGATTGTTGAGAAGCTCTGTTGTTTGGGAATGACTTCTCCAAGAAGGATTTCTTCCATTCCTTGGTGTACAGCCTGACTGCTTAGGCAATACACTGCATATAAGAGGTGGCTTTAGGTAGTTTGTGCTTTGATTTAGGATCTCTTTAGATTTTTTTAAAGCTGTTTTTTAGTTTTCAAAGCCACTAGGACTAGAAATTTTTATTTAAATAATTAATGTAATATTCTTCAGAAGCTTAAGTGGCTATGTATGTGATGGTGCCTCTCAAGACCTACTTGTAAGCATATTCATCAAGGATTTGTGTGAGTCCACTTATGAAGCCACACAGGCTTCAGACATTTTTTTTTCTCTATAGGAGACCTGTAAATTCCTTAAATGACTTTTTTTAAGCTGGTATGATATCTGAGTAGGTTGAATATAGAGGAAATGACATTCTTTTTTAACTTCTAAGCAATTTTTATTATTGTTTTGCTTGTTTTGTGTGAGCCACATTGAGTTTTTGTCTTTTGCTACTTTTTATTATTGTATTTTTCCTGTAGTGTAGCAGTCAGCAGCCTTGTTAAGCTGCAGGCCAAAGTAACCCGGTTGGGTTGGAGGCAGGTAGGTGATAGCACAGGGAAAGTGCCTACTGCAGCTGCCAAAACCCCAGGCTGCCGAAGTCCCAAATCCATGGGCCAGATCAAATGGCTCCATGGCCTATAAGTTGCTGATCCCTACTGTAGCCAAATTATAGTGACTCTGTTTTTTTGGAGTTTACTGATATCAGTCTCTTGCTTCTTTGTCTGGCCCAAATCCCATATCTCTTACTAGGTGGGTCACTATTTTCTATGGCTTTGCTTCTCAACAACGCATGAGTATCCAAAATTTGCATACGTAATTTGAATGTACTCTGGTGATGTTCAAAATTCTGTTTGTAACTTTCTAAATTTTTACTCTTAGACTCATGCTTACAGCGTCTTCCATGGTAGAAAGAAGGAATATTCTTATTCCCACAAAGATCTGTTGGTTAGTTCTTTAATGCAATATATATATATTACGCAAGTATTGTATTTATTATACTTATTACATACAGGTATGTATTATTTAATATACCAAGTGTCCTTATTCCAGTATATGTTTAGGATATTGACTATGCATGTCTTTGTGTACAGTAATATCTGGTTGATTTTATTTGAGTTTTTGCGTCAGATTCTCATCTGAATTATATGCATGCAACTCTGTTCATGTCAGCGGATTATATAAATGTAACTCAGAGTAGAACTTAAATCGTAAACCATTGAGAAGTCTTTACTGGTTTTTGGAAATATTTGTAGTAGTGAGACTTCCGTGGATAAACATCCCTTCCCTCTACATTATTTTGTCAAGACAGTAATTGTTACTGCTTGCTCTTCTAAACTGCCTGCTCCCACCAGTGATTTTTTTTTTTTTTTTTTAAATTCAGTTGAGAAATAAACCGGTTAAGTTTGTTATAAATGTGTGATACCATTCCAGCGATACATTGCCAAAGATATGGGGATTATTATAATTTCCAGAATACAGTTGTGAAAGGTAAAGTGTGTGGTTAAAACCAGATGTGCTTGACATAAACAAGAAATCTGTAATTTTGAATGATTTTTAGGATGACATTTTCAAAAGGGCTTGATACTGATAACCCAATTAATTTAGAGGGAAAGGGGTAGGCTTAGTGTTGAGTGCCTTTATGAAAGAATCCCACCTGAAATCTGTGCATTTAGCATTCATTATTTGTACTGAAATGTCTTCCTATTTTTGACACTATAGCTATTCCCACATTTCAAAACAATAATCTTAGGAAAAAATCCATGGTTTTGTTTCCATTCCCAACACTAGTCTTCAAAATAAATAAAACTGAAATCTTCAAACATATATACAGCGCTGATCCTTATTCCTTTGGGAAATTCTATTGATCCTACTGGAAGAAAGGAACAGTGGGTTTTTTGGTCTCCCTGTCTATATATGTGTGTGAATAGAAAGAGAAATTTCCTAATTGAGGACAGTAAAGTCTATAACTTTATAAAACCAGTTGTGTAATCATACTGAAAGTCTGTTCGTTCTTCCACAAAGTATAGCATTGGGATACACAGTAAGCCTCTGATCCAGCAAATAGGTGTAACCTATTTAATTTCCTTATTTTACAAGTTATTTTGCTCTCTTCTATAAGTTGCCCCAAGCCTTTGACAGGAAAAAATGGCATATAACGTAATAAATAAATATCCATTAAAATGTATCCTGCTTTGATGTTCTGCCTCTACAGATTATCCAATGGAAAATGATTCAGCTAAGAAGTGTAAATATTCCTATTTATTGTTATTCAGCTTTGATAAGTTTTGAAGTAATAATGCAAGGTTTTTGAAGTCCTTTATCAATTTTGTAGTGGAACAAACCAGTCAATATTTCCATATTTGGCTGTATGAAGCATTTAAAGAAACAGTACCATAGCAAATGCTGACATATTTACAGAATGTCAATCTGATTTTAATGCCGCCTTTTCTTCAGAAAATTGCAACAATTTTGAGGCCTTTCCATAATGAAATGTAGGACAGTGTTCTGTCTGTTGATGCATGTGAAAATGGTTGGGCAATTTTCTGACAGAGTTTTTGTTTGTATATGTATTCTTTTTTTTCTTTTTTCTCTTTCTTTTACAGAGTGGACTTTACCATGATCAAAGAAATTATAGCAGCCTTAGACATAGCAAACCTGCTTCTTCCTACCATACTCGGGTCTGTCTGTAGTTTGGTTTCAGCCTGTCCTATTCAGCTTGTTCCACCATTCCCTACCCCCTCTAGGAGGCTACTGAATGATTAAAAACTGACATTTAGTACAATTGTAAACATTTGTCTAGTTAACATTCCTATACAGCCTTCCATTAAGAAGTTGCATAAATAACACTGAAGTGCTTCTGTGCATCCTGCACGTATAGTGACAGATTTAAAGAGAATTTACAAATTATTATGTTTTTCCCCTAAGACTTAATATCTACTTCTTAACTTATGCATCCTATTTTAAGAAGTCTAGAAGAAGGTAATTACTCTCAATTTATAATTTTCAGCAATCCCAGGATGTTGCAGTAGCTTTGATAGTGAGAAGCTATTTGATGTTTGCAATAACAACTGAAAATTTTGAGTAGATATATTATATTAGGTGTATAACATTTGGCCTTCAATATAGTTCATGATTAAAATGAATTTTCATGCCTGTGAAAAGCATGGATTAAAAAACTGGATTAAAAAAACTCCTGTCTATAAAGTAACTTTCCTTGTCTTGCTTCTTGTACATGCTTCACCAAAAAGAAACAAAAATTGCTTAGCTTTCCATCCTTCTGTCCTTGGTCTGTTTGAGACCTGCAGCAAGGAGAGATATCACTTTAACTAACTTGGTACATGTGCACTAGTTTTTTATGAACTCTTGGAAACATTAGGCTTGGAAACCTGGTTATTTTTTAATAGGTTGTCTTTTTTGACCCAGTCTTTTCTTAACACTATAAAATATAAATTAGTAGGAATTTTTTGAGTGGCTTCTTTTTTCTTCCCCAACCTTCTCCCATCTTGAAAAACAGAAATTACTAACTTGTCCTTTAAACCTGATAAATCTCTCAAGATTTGACACTTATTTAGAAACAGGATTCTGAAATGATCCATGTTTTTTCCACATATACCACCCAGTATGTAGCATGGGGGTCTCTATCACAGGTTTGGGCTCCATTGGCTAAGGACAGATATTACACATAAACCAGTTTAAGTGATCAGAAACTGGTTTAAACTTGTAACAGAACAGATATTTAGTGCACATAAACCAATTTCAAAATGGCTGAAAGTGGTTTGAAATAAACCTGGTTGAATGTAGTATCAGATTTAACTGATTTGGGTCAAACCAGTTTATGCAATGTCTGTCCCAGACCCTTTGCTAGTTTAAGCTAAACCAGAGTCTCTCAGCATCCTGACATGCTCTCTGGGCTGGGTGGGGCTCTCTGCTTCAGAGCAGGGCTGGCCCCTCCCCTCCACTCCCTGGCCCCCCCCGCTTAAGCAGAGATCCTTCCTCCTCTCTCCCACATCACGAACTGTAGCCAGCATGTGGTATGCTAGCTAAAGTTGTGCAAGGCAGATAGGACAGTGTCTGTTTAGGGCTTTTTGGAGGTAATCAACAGCTCAGATGGTAATGTTCTTCCATTTCTTCCTTTGGAAAAATGCTGTTTAAGAAGAGCTTGTAATGTGTGAGGCTTTGTTTTTTGATGGGGTGTTAAATGCTGATAGCAAAGCTGATAAATGGTCTGTTATCAAGGGGGTGGACCTCTCCCTAATCACAGCGTACTGCCAGGGCCTGGCCACGCCCCCTCAGCTCAGCCCTGGGGAAGGGAGGGCTGCTTTATTGCCCCCAGATTCTACGCTGAGCCACTGCAGACATGTGCCTGCATGTCTGGGATGCCTGTCCGGTTACAAAACTGATTTAGCCTAGCCAGGTTAGACTAACCTGCAAAGATTTAATCAATTCAGGCTCAGGCTTCCTGAATTCCTGTCCCTAGTCATTAAGTGCAGCGTTCTCTGAGTTAATCTAGTCCTTTTTTAAACCCTTTTATGTCACTTTTTTTTTTTTTAAATGATAGCAGTTTTTTTTAACAATCGTGTTTTAGGCTGCCATTTTCAAGAGCTATGATTTCTTTAAAAATTTAATTTAAAATTCTAATTGTTTACCTGTGTGTAAATACCTAGAACTTCATTGAAAAAAAATAAAACAATTCTTACTTTTATTGTACTGCAACCAAAAGAATTTCTTATTTTTTTCCATCACAGTCCTCTTCTTTATACAGTGATCCTGTGGCAACTACTAAGAGTTACAGGGTTAGTATAGTGTGAAATAATTGTGTGGCTAACTTTTGATGTATTCGTAGTTTTTAGGTTTGTTTCATTAAACAAATTAAACTTTCCTCTGTAGGTATCTACTACTGTAAACACTGGTTTGATAAGAAGTACCAGTTTGGTTCGTAAGCACTATTTGCATGGTTGCCTTAATTTTGCATTCATATGCGGCTGGAAAGTAACATATATGCAGTTTTCCCATATTTTTAGATAAAATTTGCATGGCCCAGATAATAGTAAATGTACAAGAATATATAATCCAAAGAAATCTTTTCAAATTGTACTAGTCATTTCCCCCTGACCCCACTCTCTTGTTCCCCTCCGCTCTGTCTTTATTAGAGGAAAACAAGGCAGGTGGCTTTTCTTTGCGTGTATGTGTGTGTGCACCCCTCCTCCCCTTTTGGATATATCACAGTTATAAAATCTGGTCTGCCCTTGTTTTGCTGGAGGATTTCCAGGAGATGGTAAAAGGGATGTGTGGCTCTGTTGAACAAAGCTGCTTTTATCCAAATTTTAATTAGTCATCCAAGCAAAAATGTGTGGTGCTATTTGTTTTTTAAGTAGCACTTAGACAAAATCCATTCTTTTCCAACAAGGTAGCATTCACTTTTGACTTTGATATCACCATTTCATTGGGTCCACAATTCTGTTTAATATCTTTTAATTATTGTTTCTGTTGCTTCAGTCGTGAACACTTTCCATAAATCACTTAGCCTAGATACATTATATGGGATCTTAATCTGATCTTGGTTACACATTTACCTCTTCCAGACTTCACCTAGCCAGAAGTACAAAACAAAAAAATCCTAAATATGAAAATCAGTCTTGGATTACTTTTTTTTTGTCTTATGCATGTTACATGCTCCTCTGAATGATGAGTTTGCTTTAAAAGTTTGGCTCCTGGCAGTGTTGGAACTTGGTTTGTAAGATGTCTGTATATACTTGGTGCTTAAAGAATTTTAACTTTGATGGATTCCCTTGAAATAACAATTACCAAAATGTAGGTATTATCATGTGGAATCCATTTATATTTAGGGATTTTATACCTATCCATAAAGATTATGTTAAAGAACGTTAGCTTGACATTAAAGTTGGACTTGGTAAAGACAGACCGTCAGGCAAGAGTCAGTATCCCTGACTTAGAAAATCTGATGAATCCTTATTGAAAAAATCTTCAGGAGAAAAGCACTGACTTGCAGAAATCAAGAAATGTCCTTGAAGTGTTTTCTAGTAACAAGACTCCATATTTAGATTTAGTAGTAGTTTAAAAGAAATTCACGTAACCTAATGTGGGTAGAAAGGTATCCACAAAAATGGTTAATTTCTTTAAAACTGTAAAGAAAGTAGTTTTATTCAAACAAGCAAAGAAAAAATATCACTTGCTTCTTCCTGAAATGTTATACTTGTTCCTGCTACATGTAATAATGAAGTGAAAGATTAGAGAATTAAAAAAAAATTATAACAAGTATCAGGTTTGATTAGTTAGGCCCCATGTTACCATTATTATTATTATTGATGATGATGATAATTTTCCACCAAAAATCGACTGGTAGATTTAGGTAAATTTATGAGATTTCTACTTGGAGAGAGAAAATTTCCTGAATGGTAGGAGAAAATAATATGTAAAGGAAATATAAATTTGCCTAGTCCCTCCCTTCAAAAAGTATAGTCTTCAGAGAAAGATGCATGAAAAATATAATTTTGTTAAAGGTGATTGTGTAGTAGAATCATTACAGTGCATGAAATGATAACATTTTAATTACTGTTGACACTGTAAATATAAACAGTATTCTATTCCCTGTTTCCCAGGCATCATTATGTGGTGATGGATTATATAGCTCATATAGTTCTCGTACTGTAAGTCTAAATGGTTTCTTGTTTTCTTTTTTAAAACTTGCTTTATGAAAATATGTAGTTGATAATTATAAAAACTTTTTCTTTATAACTTTATCTGTAGCCATCTGAATACAGTTATTACTCTTCAAGAGCAAGCTCAACTCGAAGTAGTCCTGTGGTGAGATCTCATTTTGCATGTTTGCAGTATAATTGTGTTACTCTAATACACAGTCATCTTGATGAGCGTTTGCAATGTAGATTTATTCTTTAGACTAACACATGAGCTGTAAATTTCCATTATTGCTTCAGAAAAATTAATGCACGTCCGATATAAAATTCTAATATAAGCAATGAAGTTTGAAGTAACTGTGTAGAACTAAGATTTAATTGAAGAATGTTTATCTTTCTTTTAATTTGTTAGAAAATGATACGTAAAATACTGTCTGTATTACAAGAGACTATTCCAAAAATTTAAAGTGAAGACATAAACTTATGATGCATTTTATACTGATGTCATAGGAAAGACCAGGAAACTGTCAGAATCATTCCCACCTCTGCGTGGAGTACATGACGCAAGACAAAGAGCAGTGACATGTTTTGGTTGTCTGCCTCTGATGAAAAGTACCTGGCCCATCTCACTGGCTATCAGTATTAAAGATTGAGAGAGAGGCTACATACAGATGTTCAGTTTCTCTTGGGAAAGTTGCTGCTCTCCAGTGAGAAACAATAAGAATACAGATGCTCAGGATTTTCCTCTCAGAGAAAAAATAGCCTCTCCAAGAGAAAAATATCCTGGGAACAATGAGGGTTGAAACACTCTGTTTCTCCTAGGAGAACGAATGTCTGTACACGTTCTCTTCTGAGAAAATCCATTGAACCAGTCCTCCAGCATCCTAGAGTGCTTTGCTCCTGCCTTGTTCTATCCCTCCTTCCCCACCACAGGAGACATTGTCACTTGCTGGATTCTGCTGCTTTACCCCCTTCACAATCCCACACTGTGCTGCAGGGAGACAGGCTGACCCTGAGAACCCTGTATCAGCCAGACAGTCTGTACACTGCTGCCATCTGTCTGCAGGCAGACTGAAGGAGTCTGCAGAGCATGCTGAGATGTGTGTACAGGGGCTGGGCCCCCTGGCTGTGCAGTGTCAGTACTGCAGGCTTTCTGCTGTTCAAGGGCTTAACATCATTGGAGTGACACTTGTACCTAACTGTGTCTGTGAACAGGTGTTCCATGTAGCAGTGGAAATTTTCTACCACTGCTTTTCTTTTCTCAGAGACTGTGGTCTGAGGAGCAAGCAGGGGTGTCATGATGTTGCTCACTCCATTTGGCTCCTGGTGGCAGGGAGCCAAGCAGCCTGGCAATCCCTGTCCCCTGCCTGCACCTCAGACTAGGGACTCTGCTCTGAGCTGCAGGTGGGGAGCAAGGAACTGTCTCTTTTACTTGGCTCCTGGTGGCTTGGAGCAGAGCAAAGTGAGCTGTGCAGGAAACCCCATCCCCCTTATTGGACCCGGGATCCCAGGTGGGGTAGCAGGTGAGGGCTCTGCCCTGCTGCTCTAGTTCCTACCTGGTCTGATCCTGGAAGGGAGCATAAGCATTCACTCTTGCAAGAGAAACTGTCACAAGGGAGATCTAGGTTGAGAGTTGGAAACTCTTCTCCCAAAAAGGGCATTTTTCCCTCAAGAGAAATTGAGTGAACAATTCTGTGCTTGTCAAACCATGAATTTTTTGGTCGAAATGTAACACCTCTATGTGACCTGAAGGAGCTTCAAACTTGTTAGTCTGTATTTGTCAATGGTGTGTTATATATCTTACAGCTAGATGAGCTGCATATAATCTGAAGTAGGTTAGCATGAAAATGAGGCCGCCCTTGACTTTGAAGATGCAGTGTGCGTATTTGTTACCTTTTTAAAAAAATCACTTCATTTGAGAATGTTTTGTAGCTCAATTGTTGCTAATATAACCTCTCCCTGTCCTTTATCACAGGGATCCTGGTTTTCTCTGTTTAAAAATCACAAATTCTCTGATATTAACAGCCCCACCCTCCCTCAAATCATGCCCCCACAACCACCCACCAAAATACGCATTTTTCCATGATTAAAGTGAAATGCCACTATAGATATAGAGAGATATAGGTATCAGTTGAACACAATGTTTTATTGATATAGTTACAATTTTAAAGCAGTTTGGAAGCCTCCTAGTCCTCAATTATTATAATAAAATTAATTCTAAATACCAATACATTTTGGCATTTGATGATGATTCAAATGAATCCCAATGATTTTGGGATTTTTGTCATGGAAAACAAGAGCTCTCCCTGCCCCCTTCGCACACCAGGATATGAGTCCAGCTGTGGTTGTTACCCTCCCCCCCACCCTGCTGCTTTATGGTGCTGAGCAGCCCTAATATGCCCTGTCTCTGCCCATGCTGGTGCCCTTCACTCCTGACCCACTGTCCCCCCAGTATGTGAGGAAGGAAGTGGGTATGTGGGGAAGCTGGCGGGGTGGGGGGGAATGGGACATGGGCAACACAATGAGGATGGCACACGTCCTCATGTTTTCTGTGCCCACACAGTGGGGCTCAGCGCTGCAGCCAGACCAGACCAGTTTTGGGTAGTGATTGTCTCCATGGCCCAGTGGGCGGTGCCCAGAGCTGGAGGGAGCGCTGTGCCACTGTGGTGAAGTGCATCAGTGGCAGCGGCACAGAGTTGTGAGGAAATCTCGGGTCACGTGCCTTCCTTGGGAAATCCAAAGGGGTATGTGCCCCCCTCCCCCCCCGGCCAACGCATTGCCTGTGCTCCCGAATTGGCTCTCCACTACTTTTTGGCTGCCACGTGTATGTGTACACCTACATGCATGTGGCACCCCCTGCTTCATTGCCTTCCTTCTGTTCCCTGCAGCCCCTTTCAGGCTGCAACTGTGGCAGTCTGCAAAGGGAACCCACTGTTACCCACCTTTTTCTCTCTTAAAGGGGGAAAATCATGATTTTCTCCTCTGTTGAAGGAGAAAATCCATGTTTTTCTGCAGCAAACAGAAGACCCAGATTCCTGATAATTAATAACTCCAAATATTTTAATGCTAGCAAGTTCTTCCATGATTGAGGGCAGCAAGCTTTTAAGATAATAAGGTGCATGGGAAATAATGTTCATTGCTTGGAAGATAAATGTAATTGTAGTTATATAACAGTTGGTATCACACTTTCATTGTCAGTAGTTGTCCATATACACAGGATTATAGTTTTGTTGCAATATCTATTTGGAGAAGAGGGGGGATTAGGAGGAAAGTGAATTATTTTTAAATAAAAATATTTTAAGTATCTCTTTCAATGTTAATACTTTAAAAATTAAATCTAATTTTTAGTTGCAGCAATGTGAAATGTATTTTAGGAAAAAAAAACCCTTTCTAAACTACTGTGAAAAATGTTTTGCATGGCGTTTTGGATAGGCATAATAAAAACAGGAGATATCAATATTTTATGGCATCTAGACAATTTGTGTGTCTGCCTTTTGTGCATTTCCAGTAAATATCAAACTGTTCTATTTATTTTAGCTTTAACTTATTTATTCATTAGACAGATTTTAAAAAGCCAGTTTAGTTTATTAGGGAGTGGAGGACTGCAGGCAAAACAGGCTCCAAAAGTTAAAAGTAGCCTGAAAAGTATTGGGCAGTAAGCATCTGAATACTTCCCCTTTTTGTTGGTTCATAACCTGTAGAAAATTTAATTTGTAAAGGCTTTGTTTTTGTTTACTAACATTCCAAGGCAAAAAAGAGCAATGAAGATCAGACTTGAAATTTCTTAGACATCTTTCTACTTTATTGTCCCTTGACGAAAGGGTTGGACTACTGAAACCTTAACAAAGAGCCTCTTAACCTGAATTTATAATGAAGAGTTTAAGCTTAAGTGAATATCGAACAAAAGGGAAGTTTTGGTCATACTCTAATGTACTTCTCGTAACTCTGCATTTACTTTGTGACCCTTCTGGTGTTGTCAGTTGTCCTAGAGGCTTCCAGGCCTACATTTCTAGTTCAGAATAAACTAAATAAATATTTGTACCTCTTGGAGAGCAAGCATTCCTTCCCTTCGTGAATCACCACTGATGTGAGAACACTGGCTAGAACAAAATCTATATATATAAAGGGATATATAAAGTCTGTCTGTCTGTCCATAATGCTCTTGGGGGGCGTGGCTCCCAGCAGGGTGTGGCTCCAGCCAGTCCTGCATATGGGTTGAATTGACCGTCAGGAATGACAGTAGGGATGGAGCGCTGCCATAATGGAGGTAGGGGCGAGGGGCATCAGGGAGAGAGAATGACAGCAGAGAGGTGAGGCTAGCAGCGGGGACAGAAGGCCATGTGGCGGAGACAAGGCCTTGACAGGGATGGAGGGGACAGAGTGGGTGGGTCAGGCCAGTGCTGGCCTTGCCCTCCCTCTCCCCAGGTCTGTTTCTTGGAGGCAGCAGCGGTGTGGGGTGGTGGCAGTGTGGCACTGGCCTCACCCCTCCCCTCCTCCCCACCCAGTCTGTTCCATCCCCACCATCATTCTTGATGGGCAATTCTCTAGTAAACAAATAATCTGCTTTGTATCACGTTATGATTGTTGCAAAGATAACTTGTGGTGAAGCCCATAACACATAGGAGGCCTTTTTGATAGGTAAACCGTGCGTGTGTGTGTAATATTGCCACCTAATTTGTACTCTTTCCTTTATCTGCCTGCCTGAAAGTCTGTCTTCATGTCAGCATGGTTTTCATTTTATGTTATTTTCGGTTCTTGTTATCTGCTAGAATGTAATAGTTACCTCATTTCTTTAAATTGAATTTATACAGAGAATTATTCCCACTCACTGACATCACAAAAGTACTTATTGAATATAGGCATTTGTTAAATTGCAGTGAACCAGCTTTAATTACTTGCATTTTTAATCCTTGTAGTTTACAGATGATGAACTAGAGAGCACCACATCCTCTCATCATGTGAGCCGAGGGCGGAGAGATAGTGTGGTGAGCTGGGTTGCATGCCAGTGTCTGATGCTATTTATGGTCTTCTAACTTCGTTTGCTTGTTTTTATTTACAATAGCACATGCAATTTCACACTTACAAAGGGTTGCTTATGAAAGAAGGGAAGTAGAGAGCACTGGCTATAACTTTTGTACATCTACTGGTTTGAGTTTCATATTTTTAGAATTCATTAAATTCCTTGCTCAACTTGGGTAGAGTTCTGTAGCATGCAAAAAATCTTATTATGCGAATGAATAAGAAAGATGCTTATATCTACCATGTGGAAATTAATTTTGTGTCCTTTAAGTAATCTGTTTATAAAGAGATTATAAATATAGGTGGAGCTGGTAAAGCAACCTATGAAGGTGGTCAGGCCTTTGCATTATAAAGCTCTGTCTTTGGTTCTGTTCAGTTGTCTCAACTACTCATTTTTCAGACAAAGCTTTATATTTCAGAAATCTGCCTTAGCCATTTGTCCGAGAAGCTCTGTTACTTTCATGTAGCAATGGGGGGGTGGGGGGGTGCAGAGTGGCTTTTGTGTTAGGATGCTCGTTTTGTGATTGCTCTGAAATACCAGCCACACTGGGTTAAAAAGCACATCTGGAGGAGGGGGTGGGAATCATGGGCCACATGTTGTACTAGAAATCCTTTGAAAACATAGTTGCTAAATTTTCCAAGGTCCCATGGTTGAGCAGGACATTCACTGCAATTGTTGCCCTAGGCTATGCTGCTGGGGTTAGGAACTGAACACAAAATAATAATCTTTTAGGGCCAGGATGTGGGGGGGCTGTGACTTGGATGAGGAGCCCGAATGCAGATAATAGGACTGGAGGGGTGAAGACTGAGTTTGAAGGAAAAGCTTAAAAATGGGAGACTTGGCCTAGGCTGTGCGAAACTGAGCTGAGGATCCTGGGCATGAAGCATATTTTTTTTCATTGTATGTGTACATTTAGGCATTGATTCAGGCCTTCAGGTACTACCACAAGAGAGAAATAAAGATAATATTCAAGTTTCTGAGCCTTCTGCTTTATCAGGCCATGAACAAGAATTCATTTCTAGCAATACAAAATTTCTGTGAAATTTCCTCCACTAGAAATATTTGGGGGGGGCAGGAGCAGTATGGATTTTCAGTCTACAGTCATTCCTTCTAACCTGTTCCTCATGCCTTGCTGAGATTGGGGTGATCCCAGGGACATAAACAAAACGGACAAAAATATAAAATGGAGAGAGGTAACTGAGGCAGAATAATCAGGGTGGGTTATATCAGTGAAATGTTTATCAGGAAAAGAGGACTAATGGTTACTTTTAAAAATTATGAAAATTACCTGAAGGTATTTAAGTTTGCCACTTACTTTGAGATTAAATGATCAGTATCAAGGAATGTTGTATTAATAAACATACACTTGCTTATTAAACCCTATACTTGTTATTAACATCAGTTTCTATGAATATTACACTTGGATTACCAGTTTTAACATTGTAATGTGACTGAATAAATCTCAGTTTAATACATAACTTTTCTTTGACAGGCACTACTTCTGCTTTTCAGTTTAAAGATGCCTTTAGTTGTGAAGCAAAAGCTTATCCTTCTGTAGTAATGCTTTCTTGCTTTGAACAAGAAAAATCTGTATCAGATTGTGCATTACCAACTTCTCTTAGTACAGTGTTAGGGGCAAAACCTATTTTACATATATCAGATATATGTTTTGCATTAATCTGAATAAAAAGTACATTGTTTGCAGTTGAAAAATACAAAGTATTGACTAATCAAAGGGAAAGAATTAGATGAGAAGAATCTTTAGTAGGCATATTTAAAATGCTGACAGCAGTAAAAAGAGGAACCTGTTTATTATTGTTATCATAATTAAATTGCAAAAAGGCCAAAAGAGTTGCAGTAGCTTGGGGGGGGGGGGGGGGGGGTCCATTTCTGGTTT